TATAGTAGTAATGTAGTAATGCTTATCATAGGTCCACTTTTATTTACTTATATTAGTAATGTAGTAATGCTTATCATAGGTCTTAGCGGACAAACCTCGTGATGAAAGTGTGTAATGAAAGTAGCTGTTAGGAACCAGTTATAGTAGTCAGCTAACAAGTATGTACTCTGTGGACCATCCAGTGGGTGTAGGATTGTTTGATTAATTAAACAAAAGGAATAAAGACAATTCACAATCCATACGTTTAATGTATTAAGTATTTAATTTTTAAAATTTAATAATAATAATTGATTAAAAAATTAAATTCAAATTATATAATGCTTATTTTGTAAGTAGGTGTGTCCTCATATTGTTATTTTGCTTCATCTATTTAATTGTGCAGCTACCAAATATCCCACAGATTAACAAAAAGATTATACACAGTCCTCTTCCAATCGGAAACTCAAATTTTGGTTGAAATTGGTTTCAAGGATAAAATTTGAAGCCACAAATAAGTAGTATTTTGCTAACAAAATAAACTCCCAAAACCGAAACCCACATCTCCATCTCCTTCCTTTGAAGCTTCTAGTAAATGAGGATGAAGACGAAAAAATGAAAGGGAATCTCTAGATTGCAGGAAGGGTATTATGGATATTAAAGTTAAATGGTTGACAATTTATTTCTAAGTTAGGTCATTGTTTATCAATTTTTTTTTAGTTTAAGATCACTGTAAATATTTTTTTTTTTCTTCCTCAAAATCTAATTTATAGATTTTCCTTTGTTAAATGTACTTTTATCTTAATGGATTCAAGCCTTGTTATTTTGATATTTTGACGGTAGCTGTCTCTATCTTGTAACTTTTAAGGTGCCCCATACTTCTTCTTTAGATGTGGTCTATGTAAAAAATTCAGAAAATTATAGCGTGTAACATCATTATTAAAAGTAGCATTAACATCTTTAGAGTTTGTATTACAAATTAAGTTCAAACTCATTTTTTTTCAAATGTATTTGTATATCATCATGGTTCAAATTAACAAATACTGTTTGTAGGATTGGATGGGTTTCAGAATAAATAGATTGACCTCAAACATAGAAGACATAATTCGTTTAACTTAGAACGGTGAAATATTTGTCACCGGTGGTGGTCAATCGGCAAAGTGGAAATAGGGAGTATTGATCACCGGCGGTGGTCAATCGGCGAGATGAAAGTAAAAACAGTTTGTTAGTAAAACTGCATGAGGGTGAATAATATCCATTCGATTAAAGGCCAAGTAACCATTGTGTCAAATGATTGATGTAAAATTTTTATTTTAATATTTTATGGGTTGTAGTTGGCTAAAAAAAAAATGCTCTTGAAAGTTAAATTTTAGAAGTCTTTAACATTTGTTTAGACATGACAGATTCTAAGATATTGAAGAACTCGAAGAATGGTATATATTATTCTTTTATATTTAAATGTAGTAATGCATGACGAAACATCAACTGTTATTTACTTTTATATTAGTAATATAGTAATGCACATCATAGGTGTTACAACTCAATAATAGACTGTAACTCCCAAATGTTGAAGCAAATCCTTTATGGAAAACATTTTTTTTATATATTCTTGTACAGGAGGGAGTTAAGGGACATGCCGTCTGAATTTTCTCCCTCTTTTGTGTTCTATATATATAATATAATAATATTATATATATATATATATATATATATTATAAAAATTCACTCTCTTTCTATATATATATATATATATATATATATATATATATATAAACTCATAAACATTGACTTTATATGCATGCAAGGGTGAATTCAAAAATTGTTAATGGGTTGGGTTAAAAAAAATTATTAAATTTTTATTTTTTGGCTGGACTAAAATTAGGTATAGTAATTTTTTTTTTTGGCCAGTACATTAAATTGTAAATATATATTATGGTGTACAGTACTAAAATGTGGGCCGCCAGAAAAAATTTTAGCCTCTGTCCCTGTCCTCGCATTACTACTATAGCACATGAGTGATAACAATAATCCAAATCAAAATGTAAAGTAATACAATAACAGGACAAGTTACAATGGCAGGAGATATGTATACCTCTACGGTTAGTTTGGAATGGAGAAATGGAATAAGGTAAAAATTGAATGAATTAGAGAATGGAATGAGAATAAAATGATCATTTCCATTCTCTCGTTTGGTTATGCATGACTTAAAAAGAAAAACTAATCTATATATATGGAAACCAAATAAATAAATATATATATGCCTAAATATATATTATGCATGGCTTAAAAAGAAAAACTAATCTATATATATGTAAACCAAATAAATATATATATATATGCCTAAATATATATTTTTGATATATATTTGGAAATTAAGGAGGAATATCAAGAAAAAATTGACTTTTATTGAATCTGGTTGTTTGAGAAAAGTGTGTTAGCAATCATATCGTTCAAATAAAACGATTTTTAATATTATTTTTGCTCTTTATTTTTTTAAGTGGAGAATAAAATGTTCATTCCTCTTATTGGAAAGTGTAATGATTTTGATAGAATTACCATTATTCGAGAAAGGTGGAAAATAGGCCTTCTATCTTTAAAATTACTTTCTAAACAAAAGAATAAATTAAAAACATTTCTTTTCACTTTATTTCATTTCATTCTCGCCTACTAAACTAGACCCCAGTACTTGTGGGGGAAGTATCTATCAATCCATGGATCATTTGACATTAAAAATGGGTGCATTTATTAGGTACCATTTATTATTACCTATATACACATGTTGGGAAATTAACACAAATATTAGGGTGAATTGTAAAAAAAAAACTCTTGACTTTTATCCGTTTGCAAAAAAAAAATATTATAAATATCTTTAACAATTAACCCCTCTCAATGGGGTCATTTTAACTAACCTCTGTTAGAGTGATCGTGTGATAAAATTTTCGAACTAAATTATTCGTAAAATCAAAACAATATATTAGTATTACTAAAGTATCTACTACTCACTTTCTTTTTATTTTTTTAACTGCATAAAACAATGCCTCTTGTTATGAAACGAGGCCTTTGATTTTTTCTTTCCAAATGTTCTTGCATTTAAAATACTATCTGCGTCTCATAAAAAAATAATAATAAAAAATAATAATAATAATAATAAAATAAAATGATTGTATGATAAAAATTTTAAACTTGTTTATTACTATTTGTGTCCCATAAAAAAATAAAATAAAAAATGTCACGTTCGGGAGTCGGGTTCCGCGACATTATTTTTAGGATTAATTTCACTTAGACCCCCTGAGGTTAGGTCATATTTCACTTATATGAAAATTTGGTTTTTAATTTGTACTTATATTTGAATTAGTGCATTAACATTTCACTTACACCCCAAATGTCAATTTTTGATGGGTCATAATATTTTTAAGGTGTTCAATGACTATATTACCCTTTGACCTCATTTGACTATTTTTGTGACCAAACTAACCTCACCACACTTCTATCTTCTTCCCCTTCTCAGACCATCATCATCCCAATTAACCCATCGATCTCGCCATATACACACAAACATACAAAACAGCCATATATATATAGATAGATATATACACACACATCCCATGGCTGCAATCAACAGACCCACCTTCACCACCGCTGCCGCCACACCGCCACCGCCACACCGCAACAACCACACACCGCCGCCGCCACACCGCAACAACCACAAAGCCGAAACCTCTGAGCCGCCCGCCGTCCATCACAGCCGCGAACACAGCCGTCGGTCCTCCGAGCTCGTCGCCACCGCCACCGCAGTTCTTCATCACAGCCGAGAGCTCCACCGGCCGAGCTCGACTGTCCATCTCCGCCGCTGTGCATATTTTCGCCTTATTGTTACAGTACCATGTTCGCCGGAGTTTCATCAATCCGAACCTTGATCTGGGGTGTTTTTTTCAAGAATCAACTGATTGCCTACAATTCAAGTCCTACGGTGTGCGATTGGGGAAGCAGTGGTTGTGGTGGTGGGTGTTGTGGCGGTGAGCCTCCTCCATTGGAGCGGCAGTGGCAAGCCATGGCTTAGGAATGATTCGAAGCAACCGTGCCCACTCTGTATCTGGTTTGGGTGAATTGGGGATGGGTCAAGTGACACAGGAGATATAAACTTGAAACTTTAGTGAATGAAATGAATTTGCAGAGATATGGGTCTTGGGGCTCGACGGTGATGGCGACGGTGACGCAAGAGGAGAAGAGGAGGAGGTTGGATCAAAGAGATTAAGTCAACATTGTAGAGGGGCATTTATGTCATTTAAAATTTAAGATATTTTGTATTAAAATATTAAAGGTAAAATGGTCAACATACATGTATTTGAAGCCAAAAAAAAATAAATTGATGTGTAAATAAAAGTTAAAAATTAAATCTTTATCTGAGTGAAATATGACTGTTAAAAATAGTCTTGAATTAATTGGTATATAGGAATTATATTTTTCATGAAAAGTGCCATTAAATGCCCAACTTGTGATTCCAATGATCTAAGTATGAACATCGGTTTGTTTCAATCACGCTCGTCCATTGTTGATCAGAAAAGAATCCAAACTCATGGCTCTTGACAACGACTTGCCAAAATATCCAACAAATGAATAACATGCACGTGGCAGGTAAACCAAGTACGAGTCAACTCAACGAGTCGTCCGTGTAACAGCCTTTCTCAGAGCCCATCAACGGTGGAGATCTACGGAGGACGAACACCTGAAAAACGCGTAAAAACATTTTTTTTTATTTTTCGTTTGGGTGTGAGTGACGAGACTAATGCAGAGAACGCGATGGTCTAGGTTCTCTGCACTAAAGTAAATGTGGGTCCCATACTTTCTCTATCATCCCCCCTCTCACATCAGACAACGAGAAGTTGTAGCTTTTAGTCTACTTGTGAGGTTGGCCCACTTCTCTTTTCTTCCTATTCTTCGCTCTGCCGCGCACACTTTTACGATCACAACTTGTTTCGATAGTTAGAGCAAGAAATACGTATAGGTACATAACTATATATAGATATTATATATATATATATATATATATATATATAAATATATGTATAGATTCATGTGTTTCTGGGTGGTTTGAAAAAAGTGCCATTTTTATTGATGGGCTTGTTTGGTTCTGGTTATTATTATCTTAATGTCAAGTGGGTGGTTAAATTGTGCAATCAGAGGCTGTTATTGGTGTTCTGATAATTCATTTTTCAGCTATATTTCAGGTCTTTTTCTCTTCTCTCTCTCTGGATTGAAGATTTTGATTTAATTTCTTTTTCTTTTGTGTTCCAAAAGGCTTGTAAGGGTTTAAGAAAACGCTCAAGTGTTGTTCATTTTTTGTTTTTGCACAAAAACAAGAGAGTAGTTCTAATTTGTAGCTGTAATAAAAAGAAGATAATATAAATAAAAGAGATTGAACAGTAAAAAGTCAATCTGAAATTGGGAAGGATTGGAGATTTGGAGTGTTTGGCCGGTTGGGTTTCTTAGATCTTGGGCAATATAGGTATCTAGATCTAGAAATCTAGCTGATTGGGTTCTTTTATTTTTTTATTTTTGATGGAGTTTGTGATTGTATGATTGGTCCAGATACAGGGTATAAAAATTCAAAGTCTTGGGTTTTTTGGATTTTTGACTTTTAGTTCAAGGAGTGTGTTCTGTCTTTATATTTGGTTGATTGGGGCTTTGAAAGATTCAAATTTTGTGAAACAAATTGATCGAACTTTTTGGGGGGTTTTGGGTTTTTGTTCAAGTAGTGTTCTGTGTTCATCTTTGGTTGATTGGGGTTTTGAAAGGCTTTTTTCAAACTTTGTGAAACAGATGGATTGAACTTTTTGGGGTTTTTGGGTTTATGTTCAAGGTGTGTTTTGTGTTCATCTTTGGTTGATTGGGGTTTTGAAAGGTTCAAACTTTGTGAAACAGATGGAATGAACAAGTGGTCTTTTTGGGTGCAATGTTAAAAACATTAGCACTTTGGTTTTTGATATCTTCTTTAATCATCTGCGTCTCTGCCACTTATAATGGATTCTCCCACTGTCCTTGCGAAGACGAGGGGATTTGGAGCATACAGAGTATTCTTGAGTGCCAAAAAGTGAGCGATTTCTTGATTGCAGTAGCGTATTTTTCGATCCCCATCGAATTGCTTTACTTTATCAGCTGCTCGGACGTGCCATTCAAATGGGTATTGGTTCAATTCATTGCATTCATAGTCCTTTGTGGATTGACACATTTGCTGAATGGGTGGACATATTATGGTCCTCACTCATTCCAGTTGATGCTGGCACTTACTATTGCCAAATTCCTCACAGCCCTTGTTTCCTGTGCAACTGCAATAACCCTTTTAACTCTGATACCTCTTTTGCTTAAAGTGAAAGTGAGGGAGCTTTTCTTGAAACAAAATGTGTTGGAGCTAGACCAGGAGGTTGGGATGATGAAGAAACAGAAAGAAGCAAGTTGGCATGTTAGAATGCTGACCCACGAAATTAGGAAGTCGCTCGATAAGCACACAATATTGTACACCACTTTGGTGGAGCTTTCTAATACCTTGGATCTGCAGAATTGTGCAGTTTGGATGCCGAATGAGAATAAAACAAAGATAAACCTTACGCACGAGTTGAAAGCAGATTCTTCGAAGAATTTCAGACCTTCACTTCCCCTGGATGATTTGGATGTGTTAGATATCACAAAGAACAAGGGGGTGAGGATGTTGAGGCCGAATTCGGCACTTGCTACATCAAGCAGTGGTGGGTTCGGTGAGTCAGGTGCTGTGGCAGCGATTCGGATGCCAATGCTCCGCGTTTCAAATTTCAAAGGGGGAACGCCGGAGTTTGTTGAGACTTGTTATGGCTTATTGGTTTTGGTTCTACCAAGTGCAAATGACAGAGATTGGAGTTACAGTGAGATGGAGATAGTGGAGGTAGTTGCTGATCAGGTGGCTGTGGCACTTTCCCATGCCGCAGTTCTTGAGGAGTCTCAGCTAATGAGAGAGGAACTTGGAGCGCGAAATCGCGTGCTGCAACAGGCTAAGGAGAATGCGATGTTGGCAAGCCAAGCAAGGAACTCTTTTCAAAAGGTTATGAGCCGTGGATTGAGGAGGCCAATGCACTCAATTTTAGGTCTACTTTCAATCTTACAAGATGAGAAAATGAGTTCTGAACAAAGGATTGTTGTTGACACGATGGTGAAAACTAGCGGCGTTCTTTCAACTTTGATAAATGATGTGCTGGAGATTTCAGATAAAGATAATGGAAGATCCCCATTAGAAATGAGGCCTTTTCGACTACATTCTACGGTTAGGGAAGCTTCATGTCTTGTCAAGTGCTTGTGTGTTTATAAGGGCTTCGGTTTTTCTACAGATGTTCCAAACTCTTTGCCTAATCTGGTGATGGGCGATGAGAGGAGGACTTTTCAGGTTATATTGCATATGGTTGGACATCTATTAAATGTCAGTCATGGAGGGGGCTTTCTGATTTTCCGGGTTAATTCAGAGAGCAGGAATGATAAAATTCGGGCAACATGGAGGCCAAGTACGACTGATGACTATGCAAACATAAAATTTGAAATTGAAATTACTGGTGGAGGTTCACAGTTTGATGGCTCTATTTCTACTATATATTTTGGTAGTAGGAGGAACAACATCAACGAATTTAAGGAGGGCCTGAGCTTCAGCATGTGCAAAAAGATCGTGCAGGTGTGAATCTCTCATATTCTGCCCATGTTTCATTTTCTCTCTGGCATTTTAGTTTGTTATCAGTGCTGCATTTATAGTTCTTAGATATTTTTTAAGGCAAATTTAGATTTCCTTGGAAATGAAATATTGCAATTGTGTTAGCATAGCAATTATGTCTTCTAATTTTATGTTTCATGGCATTGGTGATAAGATTGCAGAGAACTAATTTTAGGATTTCCAGGGGATAATATTGTATTTTTTTTTCTTCTTTTAACTGCATTTATAATTTTTTTTTTTTTCATAGTTGGTACTCACACACACATATCTCCACTGAGGTTTGAACACTTGACCTCCCTTTGGGAAGTAAGGGCCTGATACCGTTAGGCCACTTGCCAGTTGGTAACTGCATGTATAATTTTGGCTTGATTTCTTATTAAATCTTGAGATGGTTTTGACCAAGGAAGGATATGATAGCATATGTTTTAACCGAGGATATGGCCTTAAATAGAGCAGAATGGAAACATAGGATTCATGTAGCTAATCCCAAGTAGGTTGGAAAAAGGCTTGTTGTTGTTGTTGTTGTATCTAGAGATGGTTTTTGTGCTTTCAAATGCATCAAGAAACAAATTGGAATGCTCTTATATTCATGAGGTGCCAAACATGCGCTTAATTAATGAATAGCCCATTTCTAGTTTCGAAACTATAGCCTTTCCTTTCTAGATCTTTTCTTGGATCTTGGTTCATACCCTAACCCATGTTCCCCAACCCATCAATATTGCTGTGTAGCTTTTAAAGGGGTTTTAAGGTTTGCCTTGAGATTCACCTTAAGCAAGGCTTTGAGAAAGTCCCTCGAAGCAGTTCTTTTGGAACTTATTATGTACAAAGGTTTGAGGCCCTCCCAACCAAAAAAAAAAAATGTGCGAGGCTCTCATGAAGCAGCATATGTAAGATGCCTTGACAGTTGACACCTGCTTTATGTCTAAAACATTCTCTTTTTATCAAAATTAAATATAAGGTGTAAGTACATTTTTGAAGTTAATCTAGGGCCATTGATACAAGCAAAGTTGTCATTCGTCTATTTTTTAAATGATTATTATTATTCTTTCCTTTTAAACGTTCTATTGTAAACTCAGAATTGAATCTCTTTATTATTTTTAAGTTGTCACCTGGAGGCTTACAGCTTAAGGTTCAATCTGCTTGTGTGCTTCTAAAATTTTGCTCCGCTGGTAAAATGAAAGAGCTTGGTTTACCTTTGTTTTCACAATTCTGTATGAATCAGGTTGCAACTTTATAATTGCAACAGTAGCAGCAAATGATTTTGGATTAAAGACTTCGTTTTACCTTTTGAGAGTATGTTACATCATGTTGTCTTGTTTTATTTCATTGTTGCAAGAACTTGTTTTACTAATCCTGTTAGTTACATAAAGAATCTGAAATTTGATGTATTTTGATTAATTTTCCTATATTTGCTAATCTTCTGTCCATGCATTTCACCGTTGGCTAATCAAATCATTCAACAAGCCTGGAATTTAGATTACTATAACGTCTATTGCATGATGATAGTCTGACTTTCGAATCTTGTACGGTGAAAAAATAAACTGCAGATGATGCAAGGCAATATCTGGATATCCTCAGATTCTCAGGGCCACGCACGAAGCATAACTCTTATTCTCAGATTTCAAATCCAAAATTCTTTTACAAGACTGCTATTTGAACAAGGAAATTCCCCAGAGCAACCAAATTCCAACTTTATGTTCAGAGGCCTTCAAGTTCTTCTAGCTGACGATGATAATGTAAACAGAATGGTGACCAAGAAGCTGTTCGAGAAGCTGGGCTGCGAAGTATCTGATTTTTCGTCAGGGTCTGAGTGCCTGAATGCTGTAGGCCATTCCGGGACTTCTTTCCAAGTCGTGGTTTTGGATCTTTACATGCCTGAAATGGATGGGTTTGAAGTGGCAATGAGGATTCGGAAGTTCAGGAGCCGTAATCACCCATTGATCATAGCCCTGACTGCCAGCACCGAGGAACACATGCTCGAGAGATGCTTACAAATGGGAATGAATGCAGTCATTCGGAAACCTGTTCTCTTACAAGGGCTGGCTGATGAGCTTCATAGACTCCTGCAACGGGCAAATGACTGAGCTTAGTAGTTCGTAAAGATAGTATGGCCTCTAATTCTTCCAGATACTCGTGAGGGTATTCGATCAACACAACTCCAGATAGCACAGCATAGAGAGGTGATTTACAATGGTAAACAAACTATTGCTGTTCATTCCACCTGCCACGGCTATGATTTAGCCTTATTGCTAAAACTTTGTAGGGTTAACAATAATTTTTTTTTTCCTCTTATATGAACGATACTCACATATTCATTTAATGTTACATCTTGAAACTTAATAAACTAATTGAAGATTTTGATATACTTTGGCTCAAATTGCATTTTTTGAATTGTCTCAAATGTAATTTGTACATGGTGTCAAAATTTAGCAGAAAACGCATATTATTTTCATTTGCAAACATTTCAAGGGTGCATTCACTCTGTGGAATATACTAAAATAACAATTGAACTAACAATTAGTTGTCATTTTACATCTTCCAGTGAGTTTGAAATGGCTATCCTTCACTTTCAAGTTTTGAATCATCCTTGGTTGTTAGGTTTTCCTGATAAGTTGTATGCTTAAATTTATTTGATATGAAGGTATTGTAACTTCTGCATGAAATGTAGACCGGTTGTAGGATTTCACCGTGTTCAAAATACGTGGTTCAGTCAAAACTTAGGGTTATGGTTTGTAGGATAGGAAAACAGCTAAGGGATATAAAAAATTTAGAATTGCATAGGGTTTCACAATGTTCAAAAAACGTAGTTCAACCAAAACTTAGAACATATTTAATGCAATGCTATATGGGCTGCCATTTTTAAAATATAGCAGGAGATGGTAAAAAGGGGCTCTCCAATGCAATGTTATATGGGTTGTTAAATTTTAACTTTACCAAAACTTATGCCAATTATAGCACAAGAAATAACTACTGCTATTTCAGAAAAAGAAAATAGAGAGAGATAGAGAGAGGGAGGGCCCCCGCGGGGAGGGGGCGCGGATATGGGTTTTGATTTTTTGAACAATTTGAAATGACATGCCGATATAGGTTCATATATATATATATATAAAAGGTCATAAAAATTTCACCAAATAGGATTTAGATTGCAAAATAAGAATTACAGAACTTGATTAGTTGATTTAGAAAAAAAATTAAAACAGAACCCAAATGTACAAGTTAGCAGTTGGAGAGGGGGCTTGCGAACGGCAAACCCGAATTGGAACAACGAGCGATGGAAACTGAAAGATATGGGTTTTGAACTTCTAATTCTTGTTGATTTTGTAGTTTGCAGTTGCACAGAGAGAGAGAGAGAGGGGAACAATTTCAGAGTTGAGAACGAGAATAGAGATGGAGGCGGTTGGGGAGGCTGAAATGATTTGCCCTAAAAATATATATATTTTTAATAATAATATAATCAAATATATAAATTTATACATATACATATATATATATATATATATATATATATATTTGGTCCTTTTTTGACCAGATATTTTAGATTTTTGTTTCTTTTTAATTATGTTTAATTTTAATTTTCTTCTAACGTCTGCAACCTGACTTGGAATGTGCCTAATATTAATATTACTGATGCAAATATGAATGGTTGGAATGGTAGTTGAAAAAGAATGGTTGTTATGTCAAAAAATAGTATTTTGCATTAAATGCACCATAAGAGCAAAATTGCTAAAATGTAGCATTTTGACACTGTAGCACCTATTAAAATATAGATTTGGCGTGTAAAAATAGTTTTTGGCATTGGAGATGGTCTTAATATTACGTTCACGGCTTGTAAGATTTCACCGTGTTAAAAAAAAACGTGATTCAGTCAAAACTTAGGGTTATAGTTTGTTGGATAGGAAAACGGCCAAGGGCAATAAAAAGTTTAGAATTACACAAAGGATTTCACTATGTTCAGAAAACGTAGTTCAACCAAAACTTAAGATTACATTTACGGTTTGTAAGATTTTGCTATATTTAGAAAAACGATGAAAAAAAATATTAAGAATTCAGAATGAATAAATACCCTCACATTATATCTTAATGCCCACATTGTATCTTAGTGTAGGGTTCCATCAGTATGTCGTTTGATAGGTGGACCCACATGCTCATCTACTTGAATTTCTTTGATTTGGGGCTCTATTAAAAGGACCAATTGTTGAATTTGGCACTGGAATGCAAGTACTAAAAGCTAGTTTGGTATGGTCGGTTTGTCTGGCTGCAATTTGATGAGCTCATAAGGCTATAGTTTTCAAACATTAATGGCAACACATTACAGCTTCACATTATACTGTCAACTCTTCAAGTTTCAACCTTTTCGTTTTCAAGATTATGAATTGATTTTTGTAGCACTATTTTATTGACCAAAACCATACTCACATGTATTTGAAGGATCATTATTGGTGAAAATTACTTTATTGAAGGGAATTTTTTACTTTTGCACTCTTGAATTTATTAGTCCGTGTTTATTTTAATTCCACTGTCTACAATTAAAGAATTGGCGAAAATTTGACTTGTTTGCTTTGGTTGTTTAAAAACGTTTTTAAACAAATACAAAGCACTATTCATTTTAATTTATTTTTTCTTTTTCCTTTTTAATAAATTTTTTAAGTAAAAAATGGTCAGCCAAATGTATGTTGAAATTGTTTTCTATTTTTCAGGAGTTATCATGTAAACTTGAGTTAGCTACCATAGGTTAGCATAAATCGTGTCACGCCAACATTCACACTAGTGCCGTAGCATTCATATTAGTACAATCGGTGTTGGTTTAGAGAGGGTAAAATCGTAAAAGATACTATATTGTCTTACTTTTACATGTAGGTTGTTTTCTAATCTTAAATCTGTGACTCACCATTCACAATAGACCAATTTATGAGTTCGGTAAAACTTTCCCTCATAACTTCTACATCTGAGCCCGTGAGCGAAGAGACTCAACTTTGAGTTTGCACTTTTGACAAATGGATTGCCATATCAACAATTGTGCTACATGACCGTCCACTTCATTTAGATACTTAGTGCTCAAGGCGTGGGCATCAATTGTATCATATTTTTACTATTTTCTTTACTTTTTCACCTTGGCCCACCATTTTACACCCTTATTATTTTTTCCGGCCTCCACATCTAGCCAAGGGAATGGAGTGTTTGGTGTGGGACCCACAAAGTATAGATGTCCACGCCAATCACTTAGGCTATCCGCCTAAGAGATATTATCCAATTTGATAAGCACATCAGATGCCCTAATATCCGATTTAAATCAAACTAAGTATATTACTACGCAAATTCAATAGTTAGTGCACAACGCAGTGTCATCCACTTAGTCTTGTGTTGACATGTAAAGTAGTTGATTTTACAAGAGATAAACTTTATCATTACACTAAAGCTCCCCTTCATAACTTTCACACTTGTGTACGATTTGAATCCTCTCACGAAGTATTTTGTGGTGCGAATTCAATAGCGCACATAGTGTTGATAATACGATGTCATTTATACTTTGAATTTCGTTACTTTAAAGCTCCCTTTCATAGCTTCCACACTTGTATACGACTTGAATCCTCTCACGAAGTATTTTGTGGTGCGAATTCAATAGTGCACACAGTGTTGTCGCCCACTTATTAATACGATATCATTTATATTTTGAATTTCATCATTTTACACTACGGCGGTAAAATTTCACCTCATTGATGAAATTTGAAAGTAAATATACTGATATTCCACAATAATATTTAAAAGAATAAAAATGTTAGATAAAACAAAATTGAGTTTTAACGAATAAAATTATTTTGAAAATATAAAAGGTATTTTTGTAAATTTTATACACGTATCTTTGTTTTTTGACAAGTACAAATTAGGACGAAAGGAAAATCAAACGCAGACGTACTCTTTGAAAAGTTAAGCGCTCAATCAACTAAGCACTAGGTAATGCGATTATAATCTATTTAATTTTAGGGTTTATAGTGCGGTTCATGTCTCCTTGATGATGCAGGTTTTATGGAATCCTTTTCAAAGCTTTATAGTAGTTAATTTAGCTTTTTTTGGGCTTTTTAAGATAACTAGGGTTTGAAACTGGCCTTGAAAAGATGGCCACAACCAAAATAATAATAATAATAAAGTTTTGTTAGTCTTAGACACTTAGTTGATGATTAATTTACAAAGGCCAAGGTGGGTCCATATATATGTGTGTGTGTGTGTTGTGGCTTTATTATTGGAATATTGGTGCCATGTAATTATAATAAAGGGATAATTACATATAAATGGAGTTAAAGTTTCATATTTACTTAGAGACTGAGTCAAAGTTTCATATTTCTCTAAAATGGATTGCTGAGGTGGCACATGATTTTTTACTGTTTAGAAAATTATGGTGCCTAAAATGCCCTTCCCTAACAAAAAAGTAGTACCTTCAGTTCAAAAAAGTAGTACCTTCAATTCAAAAAAGTAGTACATTCGGAGAAAAAGTAGTACCTTCGCGGGTGTTTAAAAAATATGGTACCTGGACGCCAAAAAGTGGTATCTTCAGTTCAAAAAAGTAGTACCTTTGAAGAAAAAGTAATACCTTCGCGAAAGGGTATTTTAGGCACCACAATTTCTAAACAGTAAAAAACCATGTGCCACCTCAACAATCCATTTTAGAGAAATATGGAATTTTGATTCAGCCTCTAAGTAAATATGAAACTTTGACTCCATTTATATGTAATTTTCCCTATAATAAATTAGGGTTTAACACGTGAATTCACGTGAAGAGGGTCCTCCATGTTTGCTAAGAAGTCTAGGACCCTTTTGAGTGTCAATCAAAAAAGAGCACTAATTAGCATAATGCTAGCCAATCAAATTTAATGCTTTGCAACACTTTTTCTCAATAATAAAAAAAAGGGGTCTGTATTTATATAATAATCAAGACCAAGTTCTTTTCTAATTATGGTTAATGAGTCCACACATTCGTGACTAATTTCTTAGGTACTTGTCATATGAAATGTCTCAAGATTTGATTGATAGATATATGTCACTATTCAATGGATGCCACTTATTTGACATGTAATTAAAAGCACTAACTATTTCAAAATTATTTTATGAAATTATTTCATGTTATAAAGAGATCCATTTGTCTCGATATCTTTTATTGTTTTTCTTTTGTCACTACCAATCTCATCAAGATCCACGTGATGCAGTTCGAAATCTAAAACGAAATAATTAATTTATGTTTGTTTATATTCGTCTAAAGTGAGATAACATCTTAACCATTCTTTATTTCTCTCCTCACTTTTCTACTCTTCCGTGCATTAGAAATCATGTAGAGAGATGGTTAGATTCATAATGTAAAGAGGAAAACTAT